TGTTACTTGGCTATTCCTCTCTTTCATGTTTATTACAGTTATACATCTACGTGGCTATGGGCTACAAGCAACATATTTAGTAGGCCTAGGTTTGATAGTGTAATCCAAAGTACTGATTTATTGTGCCGGCCTCCAAAAATCAAATCCCCCGGACTCCAGAAAATAGTATAAATAGAACAAACTTCATGGCCGTGGTGTTTGCAGCTGTCTGTGTACACATCTGTTATGGAGTATATTCAGGCCTTTAGAGTCTCCAGCCTTGCTAGCAGCTCTGTGAAGCTGCACCTAGGCATAACAGTGCTTTGAGCTAAATGCTAACATCAGCATGTTTAGCCTGTATAATGTTTTACATTGCATGTTAGCATGCTAGCGTTTGCTGATCAGCACTAAACAAAGTATAACTGATGCCGATGGGAATGTCATTCGTTTTTTTAGGTATCTGATCATAAACAAAAGTATTGGATACAATCGAATTTTAACCTGATAGTGGCGCTAGAGGCACAATTTTACAATTTATTGGGGAAAGATGAATGTTTGTACAAAATGTAATGGCAGTCCATCAAGTAGATGTTGAGATATTTCACAGAATAAATGCAAATCGTCCTTTTTTACAGTCGGGATCATCAAAGTCACTAGGGTTCATCCTCTGGACACCATGGATATCTGTATCAAATGTAATGGTAATCCATCCAATAGCTGTCCAGACAAAAAGTCAACCTCATGGTGGCGATAGCAGAAAGGTCAGGCAGTCAGTAGGGTTCATCCTCTGGGGATGTCTGTACACTCTTTCATCTTACTTTAGCATGGCTTAATAAAGAAGCCACAGAGAATATTTTCTCATCCAGATTGTTAGAAGAGTATTTGACGGTGCAGCTCACTGTTGTTAAACAATCTACTGGGCCTTCAGTGATTGCTGTTTAATTAGTATTACATTTTTGAGAAAATCAGATGCTTAGTTCTGTGACTGGAATAGCTGCACTGAACATCAAACACTGGAGATGTGAAATAAAGTAAGACCTTTTGGAGGGTGGATCGCTCCTTCAAGCTATATTATTTCTCATAGCAGCGAGCAGCCCATGTCAGCACAAAATGGTCACCACTTATCTCAACAATTACATGTTACTAAGCAGTTGTCTGAGGTATTAAATCTTAGGAGGACAAGGATGACACGGCAGCCACATGTCAGAAACAGCAATAATCCGCAATCCCCTCTTCTTGTTCCCTTTTGAGTGATTTTCAAACCTCCCCACCCCTTCTCTCGCCTCCTTACCCCTCTACATCCCCCTCTCTCCCCCTCTCCTCTCCTCTCACTCTGCTTTTCTCTCCCCCCGTCCCTCCCTCAGCAGAACTACAGGGGCTTGCTTGTTGTCAAGTCAGTGTTTTTACAGCCTGGCACTAGCACAGGGCAGCATTCAGTCATGACACTGCATTCACTTTGCCTCCCCTATAATTCACATGCTCACGTGAGAGCGCGCTGCCTTCGCGCCTGCTCATGAAATGACCCTGATTGAGCATCGCCGGCCTTTTGACAGACCATATTAGTCTTCTTATAAAAACACTTCACAAATAAATCTTTTATACATTTTAAATGCCACATATAACACCCCTGTGTGACATTATAAAGGCTCAGATGGAGCGGGGCTGTATTGACTTTTCTTACATGACAGTCGGGGGTCGATTTGTTCGACTTTAACCAGGAAGGAAGGTGTGGCTGTAAATGTTGTTTAATCTAACTCTGCCATCTAATTAGAGGGCTACATTTCATCAATTGGGCGATGCCCCTCCAAAAGTGTTTGGTTTTTCATTTGTTGTGTGTGTGTGTGCTGTACGTGTTGTTGTATTTTTCAGTGTGTGTCAATCATGATAGGTTTGCAGAGAGATGGAGCAATAAAAAAAAAATCGAGAAATTGAAGAAAAAATGAATTGTGGTCTAGAGGGGGCTCAGAAGTTGATGCAATCCTCTGACTCCCTCGTCTCCTCTCAGCTCCTTGAGTAAAATATACAGTATGTTGTTGGCTGACTAGTTTCCTCTGCTGTGAGAATGCGCCGTTCTCTTCTGGGAGCCCTGCTGTGACATTAGATGCATGTAGATTGATAATCGACGGGGGTAAACATAATTACATCGCCTTAGAAATTAATGAACACATTGATCGCCCACTCTAAACATTATCAGCATATTTTTCTTTAAGCCACTGGTATCTCGAGGGAAGGGGCTGATTATATCACGGCTTCAGCAATTTGCAATATTACTGTGGCTTCCCACAGTTAGTTTTTTCAAAGATCTTGCCAATACTTGTGGGGAGGTTTTTAAACACTGATGTTGTTGGCACCTTTGAAGTGCCTGTCAGTGTCCAGATGTAAATTCATGCAAGGAGAAGTGTGATAAGCTAATGATGTCTCCGGGGACTAGAATTAATATAACCAAGGGATAAACATATCTGCCTATCTGAGTGGATTTTTTCCCCCTCTCCAGCCTCCTTTAACACCGTTTGGGGCCTGAGCAGGAGCAGATGGACAGAGCTAGCTTTGATGTGCTCTGGGGGTCATGTGTATCTGCAGTTTTATCAAGGTACACAAACGTGCAGAGTAAATATGCCACACCAAAGCTCTGGGAAAGGCAGAGAAGGGGAAATTCCACTTTGAGATTCAAGGGAGGGTGTAGACTGAAATATTTCTCTGCATTTGTGTAACTTAGATCTTAAATATATACAGACTACCCTTACCAAACTCATAAGCAATATAAATGTTTCACTTTTTCACCTACAGGAACTTAAAATCTGCTCTGTTAAGCTTGATTTGAATTTGAATAAAGTAATTGTTTGATCTGATGCAATCAGTATGTTCAGGCTATTTTACACCTAACTCTTGCTCAGTTATTTTGCTTGACAACAATGAACAAAATCAAATTAACATGCTGGTTAATGGCTTGAGCATATTTGCCTACGGCCCTTCTATCGCCCATTTAAGTGTCTGTCATTTTATATCCATTTGCGTGCCAGAAAAGAGACATTCCATAATGCTGCACCGACCAGGAGCAGAGCCCACCACTGCAAAACATGTCCATCAAGGGGAAAATAAAAATAGGCTGTTTCCTCTAAATTCACTCAATCAATAATTCATGCCGTGCACAGAAGCTTGATTTATGAAGGAATTAAATGTTGTGGACTGGGCCCTCGCAACCGCCGTCCATCTCAGGGACGTGGCAGCCAAAATTAAACATGAAAGGCAAACACGAACAACCAAATCATCTCGCCGAGAGTCGACGCATCAGAAGACTTCAGTGGCACGCGCACGCTTGGCCGCCTGAACGGACAAAACGACATCGGCGATTTGAGCGGGAGCCAGATAATTTGTTCGTAAAGTTTTCATGAGTTATGTATGTAGGAATGGGTCACCAAAGGCCAGAAAGTGACATTAATACTATTTGGCAACCGAAGGCAGAGATGAAAGGCAAATGTGCACCTGCTGACCTGTGGGGATCTGGTGACTGCTGAGTGCCTTTCTGACCCTGACTGGCTATAAACTAACAACACAGGAACATGACAGTTTTAGTATTGTTTCAGTCAAACTGAAATTTGAATTCCCGTCTCTTTTGTCAGTAATTTATACTTCCTCTGCTGTGCAAGGAAATATAAATTGTAAATGTACTGTGGCTATTGTACGTATTTTTACATTTTACTAAAGATGATAAAACTGCTTTGGACATATTTGTGGAAACAGCTTTGAAGTTTGAACCAAGTGTGTTTGTCACATATAATCCTTTAAAGTAGAATCACATTTAAATTTAAGAAGGCAGCAAGCCTCTGGGTGAGCATTTACCATGGCAACAAGCTAGCATTGCTAGGAGACGCGCTGTCAGCTTCCATGTTACACTGGTGACTTTAGCCCTCAAACGCTGATAGATAATATGCTTTTTATATATGTATTTTTATGTCCACATAATGTTGACTCTTAGCTGTCTGTCCCTTCACAACATTCAACATTCAGGAGGAACTATTGTGTTATTAAGTATGTGTTTCACTTGTGAAGTAGAGACTAGCAAGCTAATGGACGCTAGTTAGTCTAGCATTGGACACTGAAGTAGCACTATTGCAAAAAATAAACATATACAATGCTAAATACTATAACTTAACTATAAAAGTATTGAAATAAGAGTCATAAAGTTAGCAAATGAATTAGGTAATGTCAGTTATAGACTACAGCTATCTAGCCTTCTTAACGTTTGCTAACATTAGCTAACATTGGTGAATGTGGATTGGGCAAGGTTTTATTGGAGTTCAACCTTTCATTTGTAAGACTATTAACTAGTGTTACTTCCTCTTTTAAAAGTGACATAGTCTTACTTTAATTTCACTTCAGCCTTTAAAGTTTATCTAGTCTCTAGAGTGTGTGTTTAAATGCCAGTAGTCTAAGCTAGGTACCCTGTACGGATGCATGTTGAGTTGGCTGATGGAGACAGTGAGGAGAGGAAAGCGGTGCAGGCAGCAGTGCACTGCTGAATCAGAGGCAGCTAAGAAGCAATGTAGTCAGATGAAATTACTCCTGCTGTGTCTAAATGCTTCAAATCACTGGAAGAAAGTAAGTAAAGATGAGACTGTGCTTTTCGCTTGAGGCTAATTACCCAGCTGTAATTAAAAAAACACCCCTCTGATAAGAACTGGGGCTGGTGGGCCTGAAACGAATAATAATAATATATATATATATATATTCCAGATATTCCAACAAAACTATAGCTAACAAGGCCCGCCATCTACTTTATGTGACACCAAGAATATAGTCCCACAGCGGGGACACCGAGGGACTCCGGCCTGTAGTGATGTTTCATTGGGAATGTGACTTCAAGATGAATTCCTGGATTTCTCGGTATGAAAATGCAAATGAGCGCTCGGCCGCGGTCGCGGGGTTGGGTAACGTTAGGCCGGTAACATGTAGGAATGAAGTGTGCTCAGAGACTAACTATTCTCTGCAGTGTGAGGGCAGCGGGGAGGATCTGTGGCTTAAAGCCATCACGGAGCTGCTGGAGGAGATGCATTCTTTATTCTGAGGAGGGGAGGAGGGACAGAGGGGAGAGAGAGAGAGAGAGGGAGAGAGAGAGGTGAGCAGAGCACACACGTCGCACTATCAACTGAATCCATCTAAGAAAACAACTCGCAGGGAGTCCGGGTCTGAGCTGCGTACACACTGAAGGCAAGTTTGCGCTCCTCCACTGAAACAGCGCACCGGACGGACGCAGCTGGCCGTCATGGCCCGTGGCGGATCAGGCGGCGGACACTTCGGCGAGTGCGTCCTCGTTCGGGCAGAGTGTGGAAGGGGAGAAGTGGGCTCTGCGATCACCCTGCCGCCGCTTTCTTCGGTCCTCATGCGCTGCACACGGTGTTGAGTTGAAGCGGAGGAGCTCCGTTGTGAAGCGCCCGGGAGCTGGGAAAACTAAGAAAAAAAGAAAAAAGTGCTGCTGGTGGTGTTGGTGGTGGACAGCGGTGCGGACAGGACGCGCAGCCACAACCGAGGGGGACCCTTGCAGGGAAATATGCTGTTCCGTAGACTCACCGGGCTCACGCTGCTGATCGGAACCGGCTCGCACCAGCTTTACCGAACGGACCTTTACGCGCGGGCGTACGGTAGGACCGCATGAAGGACGGAGGCTCAGAGAAAGGGGAAAAGTTGAACGCGGTAGCGTAATGGATAAAGGCTCGCCAAAGGTACAGTGGCTGTTTCTCAATAACCCAGGACGCAGTTGGAGACATGTAGAGGGAGAATGACAGGCCTAAGTTGTATATCAATCGGCCACTTTTCAAATTAAATTCCTAATAAAATGTAGGCTATAATAAATGGACCATATCTTACCGAGCACACATTAAAAGCACACATATGTTTCCACCTCTCCAACTTAGAGCCCCGAGCAACCTGCACGCAGTGATGACCATAAACTGGCGCTAATTCACCAATTATTCCCAGTGACTTTTTAAAATGAATTAAAACCGTTGGCCAATTTATCTGTAGTTTAATTAGATGTTTCATTGAGTTACAGATTACTGCACTACAAAGCGCACAGCTCCACATTTTTCACCCCGGGAGAAAACCTGACTTTTTCTTTTTTTTTTTTTTTTCATTTTTGGGGGGGGGGGGCTTTCACTCTCAATGCACTGCACGGTTTTCAATTCCCCCTTTGAAATAATTCATTCAAATGAACACCGCTCACTGGGCAGGCTTTGAAGTATACCTGATCCGCCTCTTATCGCCTCTTAAATACCCTATCCATTTTAAACTTTTAATTGCGTTTCTGTCGCTAAATCCAGTTCTAATCGGATTGTCCTGGCCACATATCACAGCGTTCATCTGGCGCTGAGAAACTGTGCTCCCTCGGCTGGAAATTAAAGAAAGAAGAAAGAAAGAGAGAGAAAAAAAGAAGTCTTTCCCTCACTTTCCCTCCCTGATCTATCCATGCCCACCATTTATCAGGTTCGGGGGTTGTAAAGCGAGGACCAACTTGACATCAGGCTTCTCTTTGGGGTTATTATTTGGGTTCTTGGTGACATTTTCTTCATGCAGCTATAATAATCTTGATGCTGCTGCCTTCTGCTGTTGATTCTGCTGCTGTGGCAGCACATTTTATCGCCTCATGTGGCTGCTTATACCCCCCCCCAAGCTTATTTGATTAAATTTAGCTCTTTCAATTTAGAAAAGTAGATCACAGATGTGTGTCAAAGGATTGTTTCTCCATCTCTGTCACAAAGAGCTAATGCAGGCTCCGGCTCGTCAACAATCAACACAGGGAGTTTACAGGAGCAGGGCTACGGAGGCAAATGGATGGGTTTGCTTTACTTAGTATTTTTTAATTCTACTATTTTATTCCTCTCTGTAGAAAATATAGCTCCCTGTCACCGCTGCTAGACGTTAAAAAAACAAGCTGAAATGTATTTGAAAGAATTTGCCAAAACAGCAATAATTCAGATTATTTTGTGAATTATGTTGGTTCTCCTCTTTTTGACACGCTGCTGTGTTTAACATTCAACCCATCGCTCCCATTATCGTGTGTCATCCAACATTGACTCAGGGTGGAGCTTCAGTTAAGCTGAGAGCTACTGATGACAACCAGTATCTTTCAATCATGTCGGGGAAGAGGAGGGGAAAAAATGTTTGATGGGTCGTAAAACTTGGAATAATGGATCTGGGGGTCTACTGTAATCCAATGGCCTTGTGCTTTACTACAAGCCTCTCCATGCTGAAAAATAGCCTGTATCGATCATTTATTGCAGGTGGAGGGACTAAATTATTTTCCAATCCCATTTCATTTGACAGCTCGTGTATGTCACTCTAGCGAGAGGAGGAGCTGGTATGCAGGGGCTTCTATTGCTCAGCTGCCTCTCCTTTGTTTTGTAATCCCACTCTTCCCGGCCTTAAATCTCAAGTTCGATGGTGTGTTCAGGCCTTCGCTTAATAACAAGCTCCTCCTTAGGCCACCGGCAAAACAATAGCTTCTGTTTACTGTAAGCACTCGTGTGTTTACCCGTGTACCTCTGCCCACAGTGTCTGCTCAAGCAGACAGAAAAAGATAGTCGTAACTTGTTTTCCGCTCCTTATTTTATTACTTTAATATTCTCTGCATCCATGTCGGCACACAAAGAGATGATGTCTTTATTAGCCTTATCTCCTTTTAGCCTGTTTCCATTAAGCAGCACTGATGTTGCTCAGAACCTCTGTGAATCCATGAGTGTGTGTCCTTGCAGTGCTCTATTCCCTCCTTTGATAGAGCGGAAGGGATAAAAGCCTTCTTTATGTCTGTGAAACCGGATGTGCAAGAGCTGTTCTGAATATTTATCAGATGGTTTGACTCCTTTTTTTAATAGCCGGTGCATAATTTGACATCAGCAGTGAACGATATGTTTTGTGACTCTGTCTCTCTGTTTTGGAGAGAGGGAAAGAGTGAGAGGGAAGGAAAGACAGTTGGTGTGTGTGTGTGTGTGTGTGTGTTTGTATGTCAAATAAAGAGACAGAGGAAGAGAGGGAAAAGAGAGGCCTCTTTTCTGAGAACAGGCCACCCCTAAATATACTAATCCAGCATTTCTTTGTTTTCCCACAGGTCTCTGGATCCAAATGTCACCCCCCTTGGACTCTGCCCTGGTCGGGGACCAGCAGTGTGTGACGGACAGGCGAGTGGAGCCTGTGGCGGCTCTCTACTCCGTGGCTTCAAATTGCCCCTGGCTGAGCTCTGCATGGAGCAACGAGTGAAGAGTCCTGCTATGGTCTGATGTCTCAGCATGGATGGAGTCAGTCAGAGGACCGGCCACCACTAATGAGACCATCGCTCTTCAGCTGAGGACTAGCATTTACAGGATTACTCCCACGGTTTCCTGCTCTTTTGCCAGCTAACTGCATCATTACCAAACTCTCCTAGGTGGACCTTTGGTGGGTCTGTTTTTTTGGTGGATATATACGTCATTGCCTTTCTGATTTTCATATATAGTTTTATTCCCTCCCACTTCTTTTTTATTGTTGGTTTCCCTTTTCCTGTTTTGTTTTTCCACTATGGAGTTTCTTGCTGGACCCTGGAATAAAGATTGGGCTTCATTCTTGCAATTTTGGTTGACTGTCATCCTAAGCCTCCAAATGCAATTCAGCCCGGGTGCCTCTTGCCCGGAGGAGTGTCGTTGTGACAACCAGTTTGTGTACTGCAATGAACGCAGCCTGACATCAGTGCCTCTGGGGATGAAGGAGGGCTACAAGGTCCTCTACCTACATAACAACCAGATAAACAATGCTGGCTTCCCTATGGAACTTCACAATCTGGCTTCCGTGGAGACTGTGTATCTCTACGGCAACCAGCTGGACGAGTTCCCCATCAATCTGCCCAAAAACACCAGAGTCCTGCATCTCCAGGAGAACAATATCCAAACCATCTCCAAGGCAGCCCTGGCCCAGCTGACTCGACTAGAAGAGCTGCACCTTGATGATAACTCCATCTCCACAGTGGGGGTGGAAGAAGGGGCCTTTAGGGAGGCAGTAAGCCTCAAACTCCTCTTCCTCACCAAGAACCACTTAAGCAGCGTTCCCATTGGCCTTCCTGAGGACCTTAAAGAGCTGCGGTTGGACGAAAACCGCATTGCCGTCATTGCAGAGGAGGCCTTTCAGAATGTGACACGCCTGCAGCGCCTCCTGCTGGACGGGAATCTGCTAACGGATGAGGGCATTGCACCAGGGACCTTCCAGGACCTTGTCAACCTCCGTGAGCTGGCTCTGGCCCGCAATTCACTCACCTTCCCCCCTCCCCTTCTACCCAGCCAGTCACTGGTCAAACTCAGCCTGCAGGAGAACCAGATTAACCAGATCCCTGTGGCAGCCTTCGCTGCCTTAAATAGGCTGGAAAAACTGGATATCTCCAGTAACCAGCTTCAGACTCTTACACAGGGTGTGTTCGATGGCCTGTCAAGCCTAAGGCATCTCATGGTGCGAAATAACCCCTGGCGTTGTGACTGTGCTGTGAAGTGGGTGGTGGTGTGGCTCAAGTCTTTGCCTTCCACCATCAACGCCCGAGGGTTCGTGTGCCTGAGTCCAGAAAAGGTGCGTGGCATGGCAATCAGAGAACTCACGCTGGATATTATAGAGTGCCCGGTTGATGGTGACCTGCCGCCCTGGCCCACCCTCCGCTCCACACCCCCTCCCCCACCCACAACCACCCCTGTCACCACCATGATCTCCACCCTCATCACCACATCCATCCCTTACTACTTTGACTCACCCTCCCCTCCCTTACCCCCGATCCATAACAACCCTCCTGGGCCCCTGCCTCCTTACGAGGACCCCCTTCAGATCTCCTTCCACGTGGTCAACTCCACCAATATCGAGGTGAGCTGGGCGTCCTATTTCACCGTCACAGCCTACAAGGTCACGTGGGTCAAAAGGGGCCAAAGCCAAATAAACGAAGGAATGCGGGAGAGGACTGTGAGCGGGGACCGGCGGCATATTAGCCTGACAAACCTGGAGCCCCGGTCTGTGTATCGGATCTGCGTGCACGTGCTGGACACCCTTAACTCCTACAGACCCGGAGAGGATACTATATGCTCTGAGGCCAGGACCAAGGCTGCCGTGTCCACTAAGCCTCCTGGTAGAGAGCAAGCTCCTGAGGAGAGCATCAACTCCACGCTGCTAATGGCTGGGATCATAGGTGGGGCGGTGCTTATCATCCTGGTAACGCTGCTCAGCCTGTTCTGCTGGCACATGCACAGGAAGAGCCGGTCATCTTCGACCAAGTGGAAATACAACCGGGGCAGGAGAAAAGACGACTACTGTGAGGCTGGAACCAAGAAGGATAACTCCATTCTGGAGATGACTGAGACCAGTTTCCAGATAGTGGCGCTGAACAATGAGCAGCTGCTCAAGGGAGATTTCCGTATTCAGCCCATCTACACGCCCAACGGGGGCATTGGATTTAGAGACTGTCACCTCAGTAACAACAGCATAGCCTACTGCAAGAGCAGTAACGTGCCCAGTACAGAGTTCTGCCACACGTGATGCAGCAGCGAATAGTACAGAGGCATTCACACACATACATACACACACACACACACACACACACACACACCAAAAAAACTAACAATACATGCATACACACACACACACACACATCATTTGTGTAGACAACAAAAAACATAAAAATTCTAGTCAAATATAACTGTACTATATATATTTCCAAGTTCTGTCTACGATGTAATTTATACTGTGGATAATAATGTGGGATTCTCTGCTATCTTTTTTATTCTTAGAAAAAGAGATACAAGTGTTTCTTTTTTTATAACCAGCAGGGTTTTGAAAGTTGTTTTAATGGTCAGTACTGTACATGAACATGGATTTGTACAATCACGGCACCCTGGGTGTAGCTTCTGACGAACGCTGTCAGCCTTGGAAATGTAAGGGCGCTTAGAGGGCTGGGATCCTTTGCTAACCACAGAAGCAAAATATGGCCTTTTTTGCGTTTTGAAACACTGCAAACGCTCCCCAGTACAGCAGAACAGTAGTAAAGACAACACAGCACAGGGGAAATCCAAACACTGCTGATTAGAGCGCGGTGGAAATATAGCACTGGTTCACTGGTGGCATGTTGTAAAAAGGAACTGAAGTGCACTTTCTTATTAATGGAAGCAAGGCAGGAAATGAGAAGAGGTGGTGATCGCGTGTAAGGGATGGTGGATGGTTGTTTAAGGAGAATGTCATCGGGCCTGTGGAAAAAGCCTGGACTGAGATTTCCCAAAAGTGCCTGAACACTAAAAGCATCTTTGTTCTATTGGTTTATAGTGGAACACAGGTGGGCTTAGACACTTTTTGGAAAACTCAAAAAAAAAAAGAAAGGATGTGTCATTTTTAGCACCCTGAAATTTGTTTATTTTTAGGGAGGAGGTGCAATTATTAACATGAGTTCTAAAAAGCAACAAAGCATTATTGCCCCTAATGAGGTGCATGGATGTGCTGAGACTCGCAGATCCTTTTGAAGAAATTCACTAATTTGTTCTGCTTCGTTTTTTCCCCGCATGTTTTGGCAAGTGAGGCCACAAGGGGGCAGTTTCCCTCAGCGTCGTGTGTGGGACGGAGGAACAGAGGGGAAGACAGACAGACAGGGAGAAAGAAAGAAAGAAAGAAAAAAAAAAAGCTGAATAGATCACTTTACCTCCACCATTCCCCTGGAGTCCATTACCCAGACGACATTACTCATGCTCAAACAGCATTGTTTAGAGTATTATTGCTCATCGAGCTACTTAATGATGTGGAATCATTTAAAACTAACAGTGTTTTCTGTGTTTCATGGCTAAATGATATGGATTTTCACCACTGTGGACTATCATGAGGGAGAAGGCCTCTGTTCCTTCCTCTGTGTGTGTGTGTGTGTGTGTGTGTGTGTGGAGAGCGTGATGAATTTTCAGAAAGCACACACATAACGCTAATTATACATCCACTTATTTCAACCTCGTCCCAGCGTTCATTAGGCTTTTTGATAAATTAGGAAATTACAACAATAAGATCGCGCTCCGCCCATGATCCTCACAATGAACGGTTGTGACTGAGCAGCTCATCGGGCGTCTCATCATTTATCCCTTTGTGTACATTTACGAGACTGTCTCCTTCATTTATGGGTCGCTCACCTGAACAATGCACCTGCTCACTCCACAACATTAGTTTCGGCAGTGATGATCCTCACCCCATCTACCCTCATTTTCTGTCTCACTGTCCCCCTGGATGTCTGTCTCAGATCCCTGCATGGGCTCAATTAAAACGGTTTTCCTTCCCTTCAGCTCCCGGGCGGTGGTGGCAACTCTTTGCATGTGAGGTGCCAGTGAGAGGTCTTCATTATGCACTCCTTAAGAAGACTTGATTTGATTTGACAAGATTTTATTTTGAGGGGCCAAGCTTAAAGAAATTCCCACAGCCGACCCCTCTGCCGCCCTCACCCCCTTCTCCCACCCCTCTCCTCATAATCCTCGACCAAAAAAGGGAGAAAAGTATGTAGACCTTATTTTCACTTGGCTGCGTGGAGCTCACGCTGGGAGAAAGTGTGTTAACTCTTTGTTAGGCGCGCAGATAGAGCTGCTCCAACGCACACGGCAGAGAATCGACAGCTAAAATGATTTTTAAGGGCTTGCGCTCAAGTTACACCAGAGGTCCGAGATTATCTCCGATAGGATTCACCTCTGCAGTTGGGATATCTCGAAGTAGCTGCACTTACTTAAATTCCAGCAATAGCTCAGATCACAATCACATGTGTGAGTACTTCAGTTTAAGGTGATGCACAGATTTCCACCACCAAACCGAGACAATGCTGTGAGAACTGACAAACACAATGACTGAACGAAATCTGTCCCAACATGTCATTGAGTGCCATATTATGTCTTCAAATCATATTTTTGAAAAGACAGCTGACATGTTTCTTACAGTATAAGATGTTTTGTTGGAGTTTCATTTGACAGTGTTTAAGTTTATCTTGAAAAGACAAAATCTCTATTATTAACATTTAAAGCAATAATTGGACATTATTTGGAGATACTTAAACAAGATGGTAATTTGCGAGCTTTAGAGTAGGCAGTTAACCTTAGACAGAGCCGGGCTCGCTGTTTTCCCCTGCCTTCTGCCATCTTTATGCTAAGCTAAGCTAACTGGCCACTGGCTGTAGCTTTTTATTTACCACACAGACACTAGAGGGGTCTCATTCTTCTCATCTTGGCAAAAAAAAGTGAATCAGCGCCAAATGTTGAACTATTCCTTTAAGCGAAACGTTTTGTGAAATAAGTTTTGCATTACAACAAAATTGATGATTGTAGTGATCTCATTCCCCTGGCAGATGAACTGCATTTATTTTAGCAAAATTTTAAGACTCAGATCTTTTTTTCATCTTGGGTTTAGTAACACGAAGATCTTCTGTGGTTATCAAAGCATCTCCACTTTTTATTTGAACCTTTTTCTACTAATATCCACAGCGGACCATAAACACTTGAACATTTACATCAGATATCGTTTATTCTTTGATATAGATGAAAGCCCTACTTTAAGTCACGTGCTGATCAAGCGAGGGGCGGGGTCGGGGTCAAACTGTTGCAACATATAGTATCTCCTCTGTCTGTGAATGTGTAACGGAGACAGATATTTGCCTTACCTTTTATGCAGGACTGAATGATTAGTTAGAGCGAGAGAGAGTTAAGTGGGAGGAAGAAAAGGAGAGAACACGAGACATAAAAAGACGGCAATGAGAATGCTGAACAGAAAGCACATTTCTCCCAACAGATCGAAGCCACGGCGGCAACAATAACAGTATTAAGGGGAAGAGCAGCACTAAGCGTGACACACAGTAGCTAACAAGAGACTGTTCATCCATAGTACCAGACCTTAAGCGGTGCATGGCTAATGATTCAACCAGACGGGGGAAGGGGCTTTGGTGGTTGTTTTGCAGCATACATTACTCTTAATTTTCTACTTGCTTGATAAAAGAACGCGGCTGCAGTGCTGTGACCAATGGAATTACATAAAACGTATTACAGACCGCTTGCGTCGGATTATTACTGTTTCAGGGTGCAGAGAAGTAATTTCCCTTAGAGCCCATTGAATCACGTCCAAATAATTATGTTTAATCTCTTGAGAGGTTAATTCAGACAAAACATGAGTGTTTGAAACATGTTTAAAGTCATCTTTTCTTCCTGTAGGCAAAACCTTCACTGCAAATATCTATTAGCCAGTAACATTCATTCAAGGATTTTTGCATGTACTGTATTTAGCTTCATAGCCTTTCATTTGTGTCATACCGGGTCTTGGACTTTCTAGTATTTTTTAAAGCAATCACCCAGTGGTGGTTGAGGTACAGTGTGAGCAGGCATACAGAAAGGTTTCGCATACGGTTTAGTGAAAGAAGGCTGGAAATTTACAGTGCATGTAAAACGGCTATGTTGGGATATCGCCATCCTGGCTTCTCATCGAGACGCTGCAGTGTTACGTTAGCCACCCACACCAAGTTTTCTTAGGAACCAAAGTTAAATTTCTGTTCTCATGATGAAATATTGATGTTGTTCCATGTATGTGCCTTGAGGTTGAACTTACAATGTAAAGTCCTTGAAACCTTTAAATGTTTTTGCACAAACTGTAAATACTTAAGTGAAGCTTTTTGAAAATAAAAGAGCCATTGGATTTGAGCGATCACTCTTTTTATTTCAGAGAGCTGTCATCTAAATGAAAGTTTATGTTCTGTTGTGCTTCAATGAGTGATCCTGCATTCTCTGTCTCTTACACATTAGTTAGTGTGCTGGCAAAAGCTGTCAAGTTAACTGAGGAGAGAGTTTGCACAGAAACACGGGCCTAGCTAAATCTATTTTGGGTCAGACACTAGCAATTCTGGGTCAAAGATTTGTGCTGTACACACCATGCCAAGTTATCCTCTTATTTCTATACGGGAAGCCTGAGACATCTTAGCGTAGCCACCGCAGCTTAGCGTTCAGCTGGGGAAAATCCAGGATACTTTCTCATTCTACTTGTATGGCACAACTAAATCCCAGAATGGGCTCTTTTTCCAAATCCCTGTGTTCTACCAAAGTCCAACTTTTTTTCCTCTCCATGACCACATCCCAGTGTTGCCTATGTAACCTCCAGCCCGCTAAAGAACCCACATTAGCCCAATCTTAATTCACTATGACAATTAACCACATGCATTCTGCTGAAACACAAGGGTGTGCCACTTTGGTATTTTGAGCGGGAAATTGGTATTTTTCTCAAAATCCCCAAATGTCAAAATGTGATTTGTTATTGCAGAATTGTAGGCTTTTTGGGGAGGCCAAGTGGATGAAGAGGACTGAGGTTTTGGCACTAAAATCATCTACTTTGCTATTCTCGCCTCCTTGTGTGTTGTGTAGCAAGTACCATGAAAGATTCAGAGCGTGTGATCTCACCCGTCTGCGTTCGCCAGGATTGGATTGCAAGTCCATCACTGAGTGTGTGCGTAGGGTTCTTCCAAGCTAGTAAGCTCTTACCAGCTAGTGTCAAACTAGGGATGTCCCAAATCAGGTTGCACCATTAAAGGTTAGTCTTCCCAGTCGCAAGAAAACATCTGCAAAACTGTTCATTTCAAACTATCTAAACAGAGAGTGACTGTACGAAGCTTCACAAGCTGAAGCACAACTTCCAGAAAATACAGAATTACAGTTTTAGGGGACAAATGATGATCACTTGTCTGCCAGTCCTCTAAATGTAGGTATGACTTTGTGTTTTATCTACAAAGGCAAACATGGTATTCATGCAGTTTAAAGAATGAGTGTGAAATATTTGATGATGCTAACCTAGATTCAATTATTGGCTTGTGTTGTTTTTGTGAAATGTAATTTTAAATCTCCCCAGAATGCATCATAATCAAACAACAATTTAATACGTGTCAGGTCAGATGTGTTGACCATATTACAAATGACCATCATATTATTATCATATTAGCATGCTAATATTAGTTTTGTCAGTTAATTCAGTTTAAGTACCCAGCAGTTCCATCTGGCAGTAAATACATATAGAAACAAGTGGTGGGAGTCATTAAGCACCAGGTATTAAACCTGCCTACTTGCACTTTACTTGATTACTTAATTTTCTTTTTAAGCAACTTTAATGCTGAAGCAGTGATCAGTTGTCACTTTACAAATTAAAATGTGTAAGATGAACTTGTAGGGTGAAGATTAAACTAGCCTGCAGTAAAAAGCTGTTAAAACTATTTGCACCTCCACCAACTGCAACAGTAAAATGCTACTTACACATTCCTGTAGCAGTAATAACAATACAATATATGATAGTAAAAGTCAAAGGCTGCTTTATGAGTACTTTTACTTTTGAACTTTAAGTACAGTTAGCTCCATACTTTTTACTTACGGCACCTTTTCAATGCAGGACTGTTACTTGGATCGAAACTTGTCCTTCACCAATGATAAGAGCTTATCTCTATGTGAGAACTAGTTTGTGTGGTGCAACCTGTTTTTATTTAGTGAAGTGTAAATGTCCACTGAGTAAGCTTGAACTCCAGGCCCCTAAGTTAATTGTCATAACACTGAAAAACAGAATAATAGCAGTGTTTGCCAGCACCATTTGTGTCCTAACACACAATGTTGTGATTAATTTAAAAGAAAGTGGTTGTGTTTGTCACAATCCATATGGCAGGAACTAATGAAATGTGGATTTTTGCCTTTGAATTGTTCACTGAACAGGTGTTAGCTCTGAGTAGCTGTTTTTTAATCTTTCCCTGCCAAAAGAACATTCAATTTTCTGCTTAGTACAAGCTCTCTAACAGCTTCACTTTGTGATCCTCATTTAAGCATCTTCTAATCAGCCTCAATATGGAGGAAAAGTCATTAAAGGATGCAATTTAAAGCAGTCTTATTCCAGGTATTACAAACATCGACATCTGGTAGAGTTAACATTGAACTGGCAGGTTTAAAGCTGTGCTCTGTTGTTATTCCCATCCTCCATTGCCCTGAGTAGCCTTTAATTAAAGACTGAATGCAGGTGAGGCCTTTGCTTCTTTCACGGTACTTCAGGCTAATGTGTGTCAGGATGGGTCACTGGATTTCTGCCCATTTGCTGCCAAAAGTGAATGTCATGAACATTAAGTAAAAGGCAGGCTAAATCAATTTAGGATCATCTTTCTGTGCTTTGAAATTATATGAAAAAACTAAATGAATGGAAAATTGGTCCAAACAGAAATCATGGTTTGCATTTGCTCCTGTGGCGAAGGAGCCTCAGCAGTTCTGTTTGGTCTCTTCTTGAGCCCTGCTGTTTCCTGAAGGTGCTTACTCTATTTGATGCTAGTCATTAAAATTTGATGTTGCGAGTTGAAAGAGACCAAATCACAGCACCGGCTCTATAGGATATCTTCGGACAGCATTAAAACATTGAACACAGAGGGATATTTTAAGCAGTCATCAATCAGGGGACAGTTATGAGATGCAAATTCAATTTCTCCTCCTAGTTTTTAGATGAGTGAGCTGAAGGTTACCATGTGAGGGTCAAATTTAAACAGAATTATTGCCTGTTTTTTTTGTTTTTGTTTCAGCAGCAAAGAAAATGTGCTTTGTGCCATTGAGATAAGCAAGATATTTTCTGTACCAAAATGAATGCAATGAATACTGCCTGACAAGTCTTTATTGTCTGCAAGGAGACTTGTTGTGAAAACCAGAAAACCACAGCACTTTCTTAAACAAATGTACACAAAATGGGCGTTTTTGTATTTCTCTTTTACACCTCATGATAAGTGACTTGCCAGCTGCACACAGTCCTAATTGGTGACAAAATGATTTTTACTCCGAAACTGCCTGAAACCCTCTCAGGCCTGGAAGGCATTTGCAGGTGTTGACACAATGAAAGCAACCCCTGCTGTATACAATATGATGCAACCCACTAACAGAGTCCTGCAACAAATACCCTTGTGAAGCTGGCAATTGTCAGTTTGTGTTGACACTATATCCTGCGGGCATTGATTCGACTATCTGGTCATTTTCAAGGCTGTAGTTTTTGCTTTATTAGATTACATCATAAAGTGTACCTAAAATTTAGGCCTGGTGCACCTTTTAATAAAAATGCAACTCGCATTATGTGTGTGTGTGTGTGTGTGTGTGTGTGTGTGTGTGTGTGTGTGTGTGTGTGTGTGTGTGTGTGTGTGTGTCCTAAGGAGACTGTGAAGGTACATCCATGTATCTTTCTGCCAACACATGGTTAGGATTTGTGTTTTAAGACGTGAATGTGTGAGTGAAGCTGCAGACATTGTGTTACACTCACACTCCACTCCCTGCAGTGTATGACAGACTGAGGAACAGACTGTGAGGAGGTGAGATAGTAGCAAGTTAGCTTAAGTGAAAAGAGTGATGCCATAATGTAAAAACACTCCAGTCCAGCATTGAAAATCTTACTTAAGTAAAAAAAAAAACATAGGTATTATGAGCTAAATGTGCTAAAAAATGCCCAGTGTTATATCATTATGTAGTGTTGGATTGTTAATACTGATTGATGTGTAAGAAGCATTTAGTGGTCTAGTTGGTTGATGTGGAGCTAATTTGAACTATATTGTTGGGTAGTCACTAACAATGCATCATGTTGTACAGGCTTGTGTTTTGTATTGTATTGTAGATCGGAGTCTAAATTAGCATTATATGTAAACACTCAAAGTAGAAGTGCTTCAAAATTGCACTTTTAAATCTACGATTAGTGATTTTTCTGGCAACTTGGGGGCAGCAACACAACCCTGACATCGCCTTTTAAGTGGATGACGAACATGCTAGATAACAGTTGCTGATGTACACATCCACAGATTACGCAACAACATTATGATTCATTTGGAGTCGTATTTGTGTCCACCTGATGAATCTAAGTCTAATATTCTCTCCATTTTAGCTCTGTTTTTGTCTCTGAAATGGCACTTTAGCTTCTAAATAGCAAGCCACTAACTGTCTGTCTGCTGTTTGGTGCAGAGCAGGTGGTGTACAATTGGTCTTAAGAGCTGAAAGACAACACTATGAGGGAGGTGAGAGTGAACCAAAACAGTAAAGTTGTGGATCGGGCAGCTAAACAAGGAGCGGAAAGTCACTATGACGCCAGGGGTGTGTCCAGACTTTTTCGACTGGGGTGGCACAAGAGGGGCACTGACTTATGGAGGGGATAGCTGGTGTCTAAGTTTTCCAATCATTCCCAATTTATGCAATTCCAAGACTGTTTATGGACCCTAGTATGCAAAAATATCCAAATACACTACATAAAACTAACATGTATACCACATGCAAAAGACTGTATGTTTTATATACCTGCATCGTCACTCTAGCTTTAAAGATAGAGCTCACTACAGCCTTTGACAGACCATGCAAAGTGGAAGAGGTAAAGATAATAGGGTGGCACTTCGGATGACCAATCAGATTTCAGGGGTGGCCAGTGCCAGTTCCACTGTTGTGTAACATGTTAGCTTGAAGTATACCAAAAAAAAACTGGTTCTGGTTTACAGTGCAGCTGTTTCCTTAAAGCTACTGCTCTAAAGCACGTCCATATGGTCAGCTTTAAATATGCATAATCAATTGCATTGTCTCTTTATAACTGTCCCTGCTGCTGCATTATAAGTCAGAGTTATCCAGAGAGCTCACCGACCAGATCATTACAAAGTGCAGTCATATAATGCACCGATCTT